GAAAACTATAGTAAAAAGCCGATATCTCAACCAAATCTCAACTTGGGTCCATATCCTCTTAGACTTTTTCTAGTCTATATATTCTCTACTTATGGACAAAATTTGGGCTCAAAGGTTTTTGACACCTCGGGAGGTGCCCTCGTTAGACCGATTGGAGGAAAATTCTATTTGGCAGTACAAGATTATTTTCCATATTTGATGTTGCTTATTTGTTTCAAATATTCAAAATTCTTTTGTATTGAAGTTCGTGATTGTGGGCGTCAACTATATGAACGAGTTAGTCATTGGCAATAAGCAACTAAGTTTAGTAGCAACCTTATCTATTTTGTTTACAACATCAAATCTCTTTATTATCAAATAATCTTTTGATAATGAATACATAGCTATTTGAAATGTATATAAGTTTTTCTTTCATGGCGATAATACTACAACGTATGATTAATATGTTATTGATGAGAAAGATTTATACAGAATTAATCGATAATCTTTTCTTGCTTAACAAACCTAACCTCTTACTTATATACTATCAGATGAGAAAGAACAAAAATTGAATTTCGTAAACATTTATTTCTTCATAGATTTTGTTTCAGCATTTGTCGATGTATCTATTTACCTACTAACCTTGAGTTTCACTCATTTTATATGGAAAGAACGAAGTTAAAAGTATCGAATAGACATAAAAAGATTGTTCAATGAAATGGAAAAAAAAGCAAAAAATAAGAAAAGGGAAAAATTAATCTTGCTTGTGAATATTCTCATGCACTGCTGACAAGTCAGTGTATACCGACAGGAAGGACAATATTGCAGCGTCTGACTTCGAGTAGATTTTTCAAATAATCATTTACGAGTTTTAAAGGATTTCTAACATTTGAAGTACACGATGATGCATTCATCAAAGTATTCCAAGTGTCTAATGTCATATAAATAGGCAGAAAAACAGAAATTGATCAATCAATAATATTTTGATATTAATCGAACCCTGTAACAAGCAGATAACTTCAATTAACTTACAGATTTCCTTCGATCCGTAGTAAGACATAGCAAAGTAGTTTTTGTACTACTTTATAATTGTAAATAGTTGAATCGAACGTTTTTATTGTTTATTTTCACAGTTGTTATTAGTATATCGTCATCACCAGGCTACAATTTTAACACGGAAAGTGTCAACATACGCTGTTCGACCACTTTGACGAACATTACTATTCAGATCGTTGTACAAAAGACTGCCAATGCAACATACTCTCACATTTCCAATAACTTTCCGGGCGGGAAAGTAACTTCTTGGAATGTGGATAACGGTACACAGATCATCTATACATGGACAATTATTAGTGGACAAAATATCGACTGTGTCCAAGGTCCATTCGAGGCCCGAGCCGAGTTTAATTTGCCTAATCAACAGCAAATAATGAGCGCTGATACCTATCTGGTAACAGTAACGACGATTACCGGGATGACCAGCACATATTCGGGACATTTTTGACTGAGAAGTATCCAATATTCATATCTCATGCTCGTCTTTTGTTCATTCTAAGACAAAAAAAAAAAGTAAATTATTAACACTAAATAAAACGACAACTTCGCTTTCATTTAAAATAAATTTTGAACTGACTTCAATTTCGTCTATTTGTATGTAGTTCATTCTAATTGTGCCGTAGTATATGTTCATGCCAAATATTAGGTTGTTAACAAAGTTTTTGCGTTTTTTTCCAAAATTTTATTTTTATTTTTTAACTTCAACAATACAACTAGCTTTCAGTTATATATGCGCCACTACTATCTATGACTTGTCGCCAACGCTCTGGCAGAGATAGGATCCCGCGTTCGTAGAAGTCCTTGGACTTTTGACCAAAGAAGTTGGCGATATCCATTTTCATGTCGTTGTCGTCGTCGAACTTTTTCTCATGCAAATGATGAGAAAGAGAACGAAACAAATGGTAGTCCGTTGGTGACAAGTCAGGAGAATAAGGTGGATGAGGAACGGTAATCCAACCGAGCTTCAATAATTTTTCGCAGGTCGACTTTGCAACATGGGGTCGGGCATTGTCATGCAAATAGTAAATTCGATCCTGCTTTCCCTTGAGTTTTTCGGCAACCCGGTCCAATTGTTGACAGTAGAGATCAGCAGTGATGGTACAACCATTTGGAAGAACTTCCCAGTGAATAATCCCATTGACGCCCCACCAAACGCTCAGCATCACCTTCTTAGGATAGAGATCAGGCTTAGGTGTTGCTACGCCTGTCTGACCAGCGCCAAGCCACTGGCGTCTGTGCGTGTAGTTAATGTATAACACCCACTTCTCATCACCAGTGATAAGATTACGGAGCCGTTGGTAGTTGCGATGAGATGTCATTAAATCCATACAAGCATCAACCCGGTGTTGTAGCTGATGTGGTGATAACTCGTGGGGTATCCAAACCCCATATTTCCATGTCTTGCCTAATTCGTTCAGATGTTTTTCCACTGCAACATGAGAGCACCCAAGCTGCTCTGCTAAGCACCGTGAAGTCAATCGAGGATCTTGTTCGATAAGCTGCTTTAAGAGATCCACATCCACTTCCGATGGTCTACCGGACCGGGGTAAATCGTCGAGTTCTAAGTTACCGTTCTTAAAGCGATTAAACCAATGTTGTGCCGTACGAGTAGAGAGTACATCCTCCCCCATCGTGCTGCATATGTTGTTGGCTGCTTCCGTTGCTTTGTGACCAAGACGGAATTCATGAAGTAAAAGCACTCGAATCTCTCTACGAGAAAGATTCATTTTCAGTTCATGATCAGCGTCCGTATCGATGGCTTTATTATCATTCGAAAGATATTCACTCTCCCTTTATATACCCTTAGTATGGAAACTTCCAGAACTTTCTCGAATGTTTTAGAAAATTTTGGAAAAAAACGCAAAAACTTTGTTACCAACCTAATACATTCGGCAAAATTATTCGTTCGCCATGTACTATTACTAACAGACCACATCGAAGGTTTAAAGTGATCAATCCATTCCGTTTGAAAATACGACACGAAAGTTGTTAATTGATTTGCTTGAGAAGAACTTGCTACCTTCTTTTTTAAAATTTTAAAAGCTTCACGAATAAGATCAATAGGTAAAAGCGCCAAAGCTATGAACGCACGTAGTAAATGACGCGATTCATTATTGGTTTCGTAGATTTTCATCAAGCCTAGTCCTTGTATATTCCGATAACACGATTGACAAAAATGGAACCAACAATCAGTTATATCCGTTTCTACCAACTAAGTTACAAAGGCGCAAGAGAACGAACGTTTTTAGATTATGTTTACGAAAGGAGAACAATTCACATACTTCTGTTGAAACGGCATTTATAAAGGCTTTCTTGAAGTCACATATGATGGTTGTTGGCTTTAGATCAACACCCTTTTTCGCTCCTATTCTCTTTAAACATCTGAAAATTGCTTCATATGTTTCATGTTTTCTATTAGAAGTTAAAATGAAACAAACTGGAACAGCTAAAATAATAAGAAAGATGAATAAGATAAAAGTCTACTTTCAATCTTAACTAGCAGAACATCTTTTAACATAGACGACAATGTTTATTTCTTCTCACAGCTGTTTTATGTGCATTATTTCATCTTCTTCGCCAATATACACATTATGTTAATTTGTTCTCTCCCATTCTTTCTTTTCTTTCTTCATTCTTTCCTCTTCTCTCTCATTATTTCCTTTTTCGCTCTCATTCTTTCCTTTTCTCTCTTACATATATATAACGAGCCAATTGAAGAGAAAAAAACACACCCTCTCCATGCTGCATCCCAAGAATAATATATAGCTGATCGAACAATTTCGGCGTAACCTTGAATGTTCCGTCGGCAAATAATGTATCAGAATTAAATAAAACATCTAATTGTTCATTGGATGCAAACATTATTAAACGTCCTCCATAAGTATTTTTCGTTTATCATAAATTAAGAAATTTTCTTTTGAATATGTTTCTTGATAAAGCAATGGCATAGTAAATTTTTGATCATGTGGTAATGGTGGTAATGCTTTACGACGTACTCTATGTAGCCCAGATTCTAAAAGTAAGAAACATTGTGAAGAGAAATTGATATTAATGAGAGTAAATTAGTTTTATGTAATTACCAATTTGTGATGGAAGAGGCATTGCGCGTTTTTCTTCTGTTGATAACACTGCTTTTCTATACTCTTCTTCAATAATGACTTTAATAGGAATAAATTCATCAAGAACTCGACTTTTTATCTTAGCCACAATTTCACGTTTACGTGTTTCATTTGAATCAACTATATGAGAATGAAAAACTCCGTTCCAATGACTATATTCACCTGTTTTCTTTAATGTATGAATAACTACTCTACAATTTTCGTCTCTTCTGGAACAACGCCAACCAATTGTTTGTTTTGCTGTACTCATATATAGGTAGCCACATCCATTCATAAAGATCATTTTACCACCTCGACGTGAGGTGCCTGTTGTTATATCTCCCTTTAGCACAGGGACATTAACAAAACCGTTTGAATCACCAGAATATACATCATTATCATCAGTGGTTGATGATCCCAACGACACTAGAGAATCGTCATTATTAGTTTTTTCTGTTGATGATGTTGTTGATTGACGACTGGGAGAATGACTTGATGTTGATTCTTTATTTTCATTTGATGCTGATAATATCATTGGTTTATTGGCAGAGAAATCTTCAAATGATTCATCAACTTCTGTTTCCAAATGTTTATCGTCATCATCGACATGATAAATTACTATAACTGTAGACTCAGCTTTTGAAACTATTGATTGTTCTTGTGATGTAGAAGATGTTTCAGGTTTACTAGAAGTGTTACTGTACTGGACTTTAAGCTGTTTCTGTTTCGATCGACATTTTCGAGCTGCTTTGCTACTGGATGTTGTAGTTGATGTTGCCTGCTCGAGTGACGCTGTTGCATCACTTGTAGCATGATATCGTAGTGCTGCTGCACGTGTTGTGACCGGCATTGATCAAGTAATATTTATCTGAAAAATTAACAATAGAAATATATGTGCCGACCCATGTCGTTCAAACCGCCTCAAAACCGTCGGTTAACCGCGTTGAACCACATTCTACCGTCGGTTTACCTCCGTGGATGTTACTAGCCTATTTGGATCGAATCTAGGTTGCAGCTGCAATTCTTTTTTTTATTTCGTAAACGTCAATTATAAAACGTATGACAAAAAAATAACTACTAACATAATATAACAAATCACGTTCTATTATTTACAACATACATGTTCTACAAAAAAGATTTCTCCTGCAAAACGATAAAGATATCACAAGCGTATAAGATCTTTTCACATAGAAATAACATATCAATAAAATCTGAATCCCTCATAGTAATACAAGTGCCATTTAACGTATAAAAAACATTGAAAAAAAGAGAAAGAATTAAAGTGTACAAAACCATTAAAGAAAAGTTCTACTTCACAAGGTGTTTGAAGTGTCTTTTCCATAAAAATTTTCTTCTTGTATGGCTTTTGAGCCGGATTGCACTGAATTAATATTATTGTTGCAGCTTCTTCGTTTTTTAATTTCATTTCGACGTTTTTGTAGAATATTTTCATGCAAACTTGGTCATTCCATGTTTAACGTTTCATCGTTCGACTTAAACCATGATCGAACAGTCTCTAAATAAAACGATACTTAAAGAATTACTAACATAGTGAATTTAGCTATCATCTAACCTTTAACAATTTGATAATAATTATCTTTTATTAATTCGTCGTTGTTAATTGATGTTAATTCTTCTTTTTTCAATAAGTGGTCAATTACTAGTGCAGCAAAACGATCAAACTGTTCTAACATCATATAATTGAATCACATCGATACTTTCTCCACTATGACTTGGTTAAACCTATAAAAGATAAAGCATAAAAAACACACGATACTATGAACGAAATAAAACTTACTAATTTAAACTGAAATTGTGGGATAACCTCGAGTTGATGCTCTCCCTCAAAATTGGTACCATTCAATGATACATTAATCTAGAAAGTACATAATAACTTATTGCTTGTAACTCAACAGTCATCACCACAATTACTACTTGCCTTTCTTGTTGCTAAAACTCTTTAGATCTTTCTTTGATTTTTAAATTATATATCTAATTTAGCATCTAATTTTTTCATCGACACCATCCAATGTTTAACATCTGTTGATGATTGATCCATATACCTGGCCATATCTTGATTCAATGATAGTGATGTTTTTAATAACATTATTATTTCTTAATTTCGATCATCATCTGAAGAAAACTTATTATATGATTGTTTAGAAAATTTTTTATCATCTGTTGTTGTAAATGAATTTGATGAGGATCGTTTGAATGGTCGGACATTGTTTTTATCAATTGTTGTTAATACCCATAGTAACGAGTTGTCTAAACCATTTACTTCTTCACTTGATTTATTATCATTACCTTTGTCTTGATTTTCGTCTTCGTCAAATGTTGGCAACTTTCGAGTGTGTCACACATGCCCTTTATTTGGCATCCTATTTTCAACTCTATGTAATCCTTGATAAGAAATAACACCATCTAATAAAAAAGCAAAAGAAGTAATATTGAATATGGAAAATGATATTAAAATATTCGAAAAAATTATCTGAAACGCTTTGAGTTTCAATTCTTTCATGAGAAATAGAACCTTTAATTTTAGCCAAGCAAATATGTCTTCTTCTTCAAGTATAAAAATTTAAAGTTATTATAATGGATGTCTTTGTAATAATGTTACCAATGCTGAATAATCAAGGAAAAAAATGTACGACACGTCGATGTTTTTATATTAAAAAAATGTACACTAAACACGATAATTAAATACGCATTAATTAGTACTTTTCCTAATCATAAATACCATCTTTACTGTTTTAAAAATAATCATGAATATCATTTTTTTTGTATTATGAATAGATAGTAGCTAATGTGATTCATATAAAAAAGTCACTTTTCGTGATAACTTAATTACTGTATTCGGAATAAGTATTACATACGAAGAAAACCATGTTGTGCTTTGTGATACTTGGTCATGTTTCGGTGATATCGCTCGCATAACGTTATTACGAAAGTTACATCTATGAATGGTGGAGTTCCATAAGTTTTTGATGTATCTGGAAAAATAGAAAGACAACAAATTATTTCAATTCATTTTTTGAACTTGCAATCAAGATGAGTGTGACCCAATGATCATATTATTGATTGTGCACAATCTAAATTAAATGGCAAACTCCTGTGGCAATCAAGAAGAGCAGCTTATTGTTTAATGGTTACAATTATCTTTTTTTTTTTGTTGAATATTGCTCATATTCATTATTCATAATTCACCTATTTGATCATTTGAATTACATGGTATTACTGATGTTAAAATTTGTCGCTGCCATTGCGTATTCAATTTAGACTTATTTAATATATTTTCACAATCTGATTCCAGATCATTGTTCATTTGTTTGTCCAAGCGTTCAACAGCCGCTCTTATGACAGATAAACATCCTACACAAAATCGAATCATTTCAAGTAATGTTTTCATTTGTATTTTTATGAACATTGATGAAAACGAGTTACCTTCGAGACAATAACAGCCAACATAATTCTTGCCTCAATCTTTGATAGTTACTAGAACATTCTCGTTAACACCATGAACATTCGGTTTCGTTTTAATGATAAATGTATTATCAATTTTGAAAAGTACTTATAATACATATGTATCATCATCACTGATTACACGTCGATTTCTCAAATTTAAGGTCCTTCATAGACGTTGCTCAATGCCACTCAGAGAAATCTAAAACACATTAAAATCAAATTCAAAAAAAATCTAAAAGAAACAAATAGTGTATAATAAGCATCTGAACGACTAATGAGTTATAAAGTAGAAAATGGGTTCGATCATGTTCAAAATCTACTCAAATTTCTGATTAACAAGCAACATCTTGAAATTCGACTGCTATGCATTTATGACGAAATCCTTGAACTAAAATAATATCACAATTATTTGACAACTCTAGCAATGTATACAGGTAATCTAATCTTTGAATTATCTCGCTTGGTAGCTCAACAAATTAGAAATCGTTTTTTTTCTACATACGATATTTTTTGACAAACGTAAAATATTCATCATTATTTCTATAACACAACAGGATTTTCATAATTAACAATATTATGACTGTTATTATTTTTGGTGTACGAATCTTGCAGCTGATGATCATTTTCACCTTCAGTACTACTCGAAATATCTGAATAGTAACATTTTTTCTGATCTTCATAGTTAACCGACGTTTCAGCTTTTTTATGACTTGATAAGAATTAAAACATTTTGGTACATATAGAAGATGGAAATATCTAAAATTGAAATAAAATTCTAGCGATATGTTGTGAACAAATAAAGAAAAAAATTGAAGCCAATATACATTTTTGTCAAAAATTGAGCACTTACCCGTGAAAAACCCAAACGCACACCGGACGCGTTTTAACGCGTTTTAACCGCGTGTAGACGCGGCTACGGTAACAAATGTAAATAAAACGCGTTCAGGCGCGTTTCACAGACGCATCTAGACGCATCTAGATTAGAAACGCCTTTCGTAATTGTAAAAATGAAAACGCAGTTGAACGCGTTCGAAGCAAAAACCGCGTGCAAGCGCGTTTCGTGGACGCATCTGGATGCGCCTGAAGTCATCACTGCGCCCAGACGCGTTTTCCAGACGCGTCTGGATGCGTTCAGATTAATGGCCACATTTAAACGCATCTAGAATAGAAACGCGTTTTACTATTGTTAAAATAAAAACGCAGTTGAACACGGTTAAACTAATCACTGCGTTCAGGCACGTTGCATAGACGCGTCTAGACGCATCTGAATACATTCGTATATGAACGCATTTTATCTTTAGATAAGTATAAATACGTTCAAATGAGCAAACGCATCTGAATGCATTCTGCATTTGAACGCGTTTCATTTTTTGGATAGATATAGATACGTTATATCGCATTTCCCAACGCATTTTCTTGTTAAATAGAACTTTCCGAAAGTTTGTCTTAGTGCCATATCAAATTAATGTGTTTTCCCAATAGTTTCAAAGAGCATCCGCGTCATGAATTAGTCTAATTTATTAGCCTACAATAAGAGTCAAAATGAATTTTCATCTTCATAACGAGATATTTATGTTGAATAGAGTTTACCTTCGAACACAAGGTGAAAATTAATAAAAACAATTTTTCACTTGAAAAAGAATGAAAATAAAAGGTTGTGTGGAGCACAAATCTAACTCAAATGAAAAAATGGAAAATCTATTTTATCATTAAAAGGTTAAGACTTAAATATAAGTCCATCACGATTAATGAGTTGTAATTATAAGAACCAATCAGATTATATTTGCTGTTTACCTTTGGTCTTAGAAAGAGGTTGTTCGTTTTGTTGAATGTAATTTTGTTTACTTTTAAAAATTAAATAATTTTATTTACAAAAAGGGATCATTTATCGAGTTATATTTCCAAAATTGTTTTTGTTTTCTTTTCTAAAGCCGTATAAAAATAATTTAATAATCGATCGTTACATATCTTTTTTCTTCACTACGCAATCTTGTAAATTCAAGTGATTCTACAATTTACGCTATCAAAACAGATATGTATTCTACATATCTATAAGCTAATGTGGTCCATTGGCTTAGGTATGTAGACTTATAGTCAAACATCTTATGTTCTAGCATCGTTCACCGCACAATGTTAAGGTTTGTGGGTGTGGGTGTGGGTGTGGGTGT